TCTGTATTCAAACAGGCTAGAACACAGGGCATGTTGCAGAGGAATTTTAATTCAGAACATGGCTGCTCTGGCAAGAGATCACATCCAAAGACCTTCTAGGTCTGTGAGATCTGCCTGGAACACTAACACACCTTTAATCCAGGAGACAGAGGCAAGCAGATCTCAGTTAAAAGCCAGCCTGGTACAGAGCTAGTTTAAGGTAAAGAAAAGCTTAGGTCCAGGCATGGTGGTACATACCTTTAATCCCAAACAATGAAGATAACAGTTTGCAGAAGGAAGCACCCATGTTTGAAAGTGATATCTAATTGAGTGACAGAAAAAGTGATGAATCAAGAAAGATTTAACAGAATAGTACATACAGAGCTCTCAAGAGAACAAAGAGGAAAGGGAAACTACTTAAGGGAACAACACAAAGAATGAAAAGAAAGAAGAGTATCATTCTCTTCAGGGCCTCCAGAGCTCAGTTTTTACGGCTTTGTTGCTCTCCTTTTGGAGCCCCTGTCCCCTCTAGGTCTTTCTAGTGCCCCCTTCTTTCCTAAGATTCCTTGCACTCTGCCCAAAGTTTGGCTATGAGTCTGAGCCTCTGCTTGGATACCTTGATCAGTAGAGTTTTTCAGAGGCAGTCTGCGGTAAGCTCTTGTCCTGTTCACTGTCTTGTCCTGCTTTCGATGTCTACTGCATTTGTCCTTCTGAATGAAGATTGAGCATCTTCCTTGTCCTAAAGAGCAAGAACGATCCTAGGGAAGATGCTCTGAAGAGAATGATACCCCAACCAAGGACAGTACATGGAGAGGACCTAAAACTCTGGCTCAGATGTAGCCCCTAAACTCAGTCTCCAAGTGGGGTAGTAAGGGGAGTAAGGACTTTCTCTGGCATGAACTCAGTGTCAGGCTCTCTGATCACCTCCCCTGGGTGGGGGTGCAGGCTTGCCAGTCCACAGAGGAAGCAAATTCAAACAGTCCTGATGAGACCTGATAGGCTAGGGTCCAATAGAAGGGGAGGAAGACCTTCCCTATCAGTAGACTGAAAAAGGGGCAAAGGGGGAGAAGCGGGAGGGAGGGTGAGATTGGGAGATGAGGGAGAAGTTCACAGCTGGGATACAAATTGAATACATTGTAATCAATGATAATAACAAAAAACGATAGAGGAGGCAGTTTTGTTGGGAGAGTTTTATAGAGAGAGGTGGAATGAAAGAACAAGACAGACACAGATGAAGACAGAATGAGCCAGAGAATGAGGAGTAGCCAGAAGATTAGAAAAGATTGGTAGAGTTAGTGTGAGGTCAAGCAGTACAATTCAGAGGCTGAGAGAAAAGCCAGACTGAATAGGTCAGCTGAAAGAGGAGTTTGACCCAGAACAGCTATGAGCTCATAAAAAACTAGAAAGGTTGAAGTTATTAAGCAGTAAGTCTCAGAGGCTGAAAACATTTTAGGCATAGGTTTGATTATATGGAGGCTAGAAGCTTCCAGGACAAGACCTAGGATAGCAGATAAAGGCAGTAAGCCTCCAAGACAAGTGAAAAAGCAAATAAAAGTAATTTTAGAGAATGTGGGGTTGAACCTCTGATGAATGGGTTCTATTACAAAAAAAGTTGACATTCTAGGCAATATGATGGCTTGATAGCAGGCCATCTTTTGGTAATGAAATTTGATGAGTTTCACTAGTTCTGGAAGAAAGAATGTTATCTGTGAAACAAAATGTATTCTAGATATGTAATTTTATTTAAATGTCTAAAAATTTTGTCAATTAAGTGTGTACTGGTATCACAGATTAGTATCAGAAATAGCTCCAGTTTAAAATTTGCTATCCTTGCTGTGTTTAAAACTATTTTGATTGATTCTCTGAACATTTTATACACTGTATTTTGACCATATTCACACCCAAACTCCCCCGATCAACCTTTTCATTTGTACTCATCCAATTTTGTGTTCCTTTACAAAAAGTAAGTGTGATACACCATATAAGCGAACTGAAAGAAACCCCCAAGATCATCTTATTAGAGGCGGAGAAAGCCTTTGACAAAAGCTAACCCCTTCATGGCAATTGTTTATAATCCACCAGGTCCACTTTGTGCTGCTCAAATGCTTTTGGGAATGTGATCTGTCCCAGAGCATGGTAGGCTTTATGGTGAACTGCCTCTCCCTCTCCCAGAAGCTATCAGATCCCAGTATCTCCTCAGCTAGGCATGTCACATGGTGCCCATGTCTCCACTCCATGCTGGCATTTCACATCTATCTGCCTGCCTCTGCCTCCCAGAGTGCTAGGATTACAGGCATGCACCACCACTCCCAACTTTGGCATTCTTATTTGTGGAAAAAAAACAAAAACAAAAACAAAAAACCCCACAAACTTTACTTTTCTGTATGAAACATATTTAAGTTTAAAAACTAAAGAGAATGTCAAAACTACCCAATATTCCCATTTCTGCAGAGCATTATCTAGTCACACAGGAAGGCAGTACTGAGTTGCTGTGTGAAGCAACAGTGGAAGGAAGCCCTGGTATCTACGGAGGGCCATGGACACACTGCTCAGGGGTTTATTATCCAGAACCTCTCTTTGACTCCACTGCCATGACAACATAAATAAGACCACACAATGTTTTATTGCCTGTTTATTAAAAATTTCATGATCATGATGTCTTATATATAGTTACTTTAAGGCACAGAACGTAGGTATTTCAAGATGCCAAGGGGCTTTACACAACACTGGATAATACAAACTATTTAATCTCACAAACATGTAGGCAACCTGAAAGAGGAAACTTTTCTATCCGCCTCCTCATCAGTACAGGTCACCGAGTGTGAAATAAATGCATAAGGATCTTGTGCCAGTTAATAAATAGCTAACTTGAAAAACATTATAATTGATTTGGTCAATACTAGTTATTTCATAATCTTTCTTAGTGACAGAAATCAAAATGTACATATTTAATTGTCTTACCAATTCAGTCGATATTTTTTGCGTTGATATTCAATACTGTGTAATAGAAAATGTACTGTTCTATTCACTATGGCTGACAAAAATTTTAGATATCTAATTGTTTTATTAAAACATTTTAGCTAACACTTATCTATTTATGTGAGTGAGTAGATGTGATGTGTGTGGATATAAGAGGACAGATTTTAATAATTAATTCTTTTCCTTTACTACATGGGTTTCAAGGATTGAACTCAGGTTGTCAGGCCTAACAACAAGCATCTCACCTCTTGAACTAATTCATCAGCTCATTTAAATTACAAACAACAACAACAACAACAACAACAAAAACATGGCATGGCTTAGATGATAGATCCATCTAAATACAATGAGATGTTATCAATAATAGCAAAACCAGGTTTCTTCTTTCCAGAAAGAAATAGCAGTTGAGACGCTACTTTCACTGTATTTGGTGAAAGTCTATTAATCCACATATCATGTATCATTAAAAAAAGTAAAAGCAAAAGCTTTCAGTTGCCTGAAAACTTATGTTTAAGACACCTATTGCTTTATATATATATTGGTTACTTAATCTTTTAAAAGTCTTTTAAAGCATATGAAAATACATAAGTTTTAAGCATGAATATCATGTGGCGTGGTTTGAAAACTAAAAAGACAAACAAAATGAACACAACAGCAAACCACTGTCATCTTTCTATTTTGTAGTAGAAATGTATTCAGTACAGTGCAATATTTTTACATCTTAGTCTTATTTTAACCTGCATTTTGTACTTTTGCCTAGTTTTCACACAGAGCTTTATGTTATTTTAAATTGAAAACAGGAATCCCATAGAGAACACTGAAATGTTCTTTCATGCTTGTTGGAAAGTTTTGTGTGTATAAATAGAGGAGGTATATTAAAAGAGAAAGTAGTGTGTTGGAGACTGGGAAACCCTGCCATGGCTTTAGAACTTAGTGCCCTTGAGACGTTCCCAAGCTGAGGAGACTGCTCTCAGAAGAGTCTTCAACTAGATGATTGTGAAGAATGGACTAATAGGGAGCAATTTATTTTTACTAGCATTAACCTTCAGAGAGAAGCATGCCTGTAAAACTGATAGTGAAATGTATCCAAATACTGTCTGTACATTTGATTCAGTGAACTCTGCTGTTGAGCCTCACCGAACCCACTGTTTGGGCATGTGCACCTCTTAGAACTGGAACACACCAAACTTTAGAGTGTCTGAGATCCTTTTACAGTTACCCACCATCTCTGTCTTTAGGGATAACTGTCTGACTCTCGCCCCAGGTTTGACCCAGACGGTGATAAGCAAACAACAGCCCCGGCAGATGTGAATTAAATTTTATTTTTAAAAAATGGCTAAAGATTGTTAGACATCCTTGAGAAGGCTTGAATGATAAGTTGTCACCGCATTTGGACTCAATAACTTGCTTTTTTCCCAAGTATTGGAAGGGTTGTAAGTATTCAAAAATACCCTCTGTGCTCTGTTATCATCATAAGATGAAATGTTTCATGATGGTGTGTATGGCTGGGAAGAAAATGGATAGAACTACTGTAGCTGTGCTATGAAGGAAAAGAGGACCTTTAGGGATTTAATACTTTGCCTGGAAACATGACCTGCAAGCAGTGATGATTCAGTAAATTTGGAACCTACACAGGATGCTATGTTTCATGACCAATAATTATGGTCTCAAGAAAAAAATTCTTGACATTTCTTCATGGAAATATACTTAAAATACCTATATGATGGTTTGCATATGATAGTATGAAGTAACATACTTCAACCCTTGCCTCATTCTCTAAGCAATCCACACAGCTTTGGGCAACCAATGCAGCATATCACACACAGATCTATGGAGAGCAGGGCTTGTAAATCCTGGCCAAAATAACTTTGTGATACACTGAGTAGGGTATTATAGAGCTGAGGTTGACCTTCCTAGGTCTGGTAACAGAGACAGAGCGTGGTGGGTACCACACACAGCACAAACAGACTCATATAAACATGGTATATATCAGCACAGGGTATTCATCCACAAGCATCAGGTTACATAGGATGAAGCCTTACCCGGGCCTTCTGCTCCATTTCTAGCATTAATCTTTCATGTTGCTCAGCTATGGCCAGCGTTGCAGAGTGGACCTTCTGATAGATCATTTCTCCTTCTCTTGTTTGAAAGGTGAATAGGCCTTCTCCTGTGTCACACATTCTGTGAAAAGAGATAGAGAAAGAAACAGGTCTCTGTGGGTTCAAGTATGTCAATAATTTCTTTATAAAGGATGCCCTTATCCTCAGTTCTTCTTCTCCGTGCTAGTTCATTCTTAGAAAATCTACCCAATATGAAAGAGAAATAAAGGTAAAAAAAAATCCATGTGTACTTGAGTTTTAAATTCTTACCAAAATGTGCAGGGACAACTAAAAATGATTTAAACATGCTCTGTGTGGTTCTCTGAATGCTGACAGTGGGGTTTCCATGCTCTCTCTCTCTCTCTTTCTCTCTCTCTCTCCAATCAATTAACTAATTTTCACAATTTTTTCATTATATATTCCAATTGAAGCACTGTCCCACAACTCCTCCCAGGCCCACCTTCCCTCTGTCTGCCTCCCTATCCTCTCCCCTAGTTCACTGAAAGGGGGAGTTCTCTGACATCTGCCATAGCTTCTCAAGTCTCATCAGGATTGCTTGGATCCTCTTTCTCTGTGGGATGGCAAGGCCACATTGCCAGGGGCAACTGATCAAAGAACAGGCAACCAAGTTCAGAAATACCTACCAAGTGCTTTACCATTGGGCGAAGAACAGGAGTTTTAATGTCTATTATATGTACTCTATTTGAATTTAAGAAAATTGTGCTTTAGCATAGTTTCTGCCAATAATGGGAGTGTAAATTTAGACAAGAAGCTCAACCTGCCTGTCTCTGATTGCTGTGTTTCTGAAATCGATGTAATAGAACCACTTCATGCAATCTTAAAGGATAAAGAGGTGGTAGACAGCCTCTTACAGTGCAGCTTAGCAGTCAGAGTGTTAAAAGTTGCTAGTTGCTTTCATCATAATGTTAGAACTAATAATAAGGAAAGTTTAGTAGTAACTGAATAAATACCTACCCTAGAGAAATAGCTGGGTCAGTTTATTTTTATAAGATACTGCTATGTTATTATGGTATAATATTAGGAAGAAGTATAATGCTATAGGTGACAGTGCATAATAATGTTTAAATTCTTAATAGAAGTTCTAGCAGAAAGATCAAAATGTAAGGTCATTTCAATTATTTCATGATAATCACTTGATTAGACAATCTTCATTAGCAGATTATTAGACAGATTTACAGGTAAGTTTTATTAATAATTACTAAGTATAACATAAAATATCATTTTAATTAGTATTATAGCTCAGGTTTAAGCATATCTAAAGACTATATGCATGTGATACTCTGATATGAAGAATACTAGGTTTCTATGCTGCTGGTTTTTAGGTAATATTATGGAATGATTTACAGGTTACAACATCAAAATATTTATGAGGGCAAACTATTGTATAATTTGTCCAAGCGGATTTTAGTAGCAAAGAAATGTCTCAAGCGGCTTCTAACATTGTCCAAACTATGTAACTGCCATCCCTCCAGGCCCCATCCAACCATACTTAGCTTATGTGGAAGCGATCTTAATAAAATTCACACAGCATGAAATGGAAAGTCTTGGGGAAAAATGAAGTGTTTTCACAAAGTGAAACAAATGAGCTATCTTTGTTGACGCAGGGGTGCTCAGAAATGCAAAAGCCACCAAAAAAACCACTGATAAGTCCAGAGCATATCTTGTCTGAGGTGGAGGTTTTGTTCATTGTCAAGTGCAGAACACTGCCTATTAGCCTCAGGAAATGAGATAATGAAGACACAAATTGTTATTTCATATTCAGTCATTGAGATGTGAAATTCTGATGCCTGTCCACTTTCTGAGACTTAATTCTGCCCAGTGGGGGATTCTTAATGCTTACATGAGGGTTTCCCTAATCTTAGAAATAGCTACCATCACTTCCTTTGAGCCTGGAACCAGGCTTTTGAATGTATTATGAAAAGTAAAGAAACGCTGAATACAAGGAGTTGCTTCTGCACAGTGATTATATCAACCAAGGGGAAGGTTCAGATTCTTCACTTTATAGGCTCATGATTATTGCTTTTTTTTTTTTTTTTTGGCAGTCATGTTGACTTGAACAATTTAGGGCTCCTTGCCTTAATACATATTGTCTGAAGGAGGATGGGAAACAGAAATAGACTTTTCTTATCTGTTTAAACAGTGTCGTGGTAGAAAGCCAATACTACATGACAGGACAGGGAAAAGGATGCAACAACTTAGGTTGCTTTTGACTTGCTTTTAAAGTAGGACCCAAATGCAGCAAATCACGCACCACTGGAAAGTTATTCTTGGTTCTGAATTGTAATCTGTACCTTAACCATGTCTCTCATGGTTAATATGAACATTATGAGCCTTGTTTTTCTGAATGCACTCTTTTCTTAAAGAGGGAAGAGCTCAGGTCTAGGTGCTTATTGCATTGGAGCATCCTGACTCTGTGCCCACAAACTTGACACTGAAGATATTTAGTGAATGCATTGATTTTGAGAAAACATGAAAATATGGATGCTATGTATTTGGCCTGACTTCAAATTAAAATTAAGTTCAGAATTAAAGATGAGGGTATTATCTCTCTTCACACTTAAGATATTTATTCAGAAAAGACGCTTGTGCCCAGATAATTTGGTTCAGTTGCTCCCCTTGTGGAGCTTCTTTTCTGAGACTCATACTCCAACCAAGGACCATGCATGGAGATGGCCTGGAACCCCTGCATAGATGTAGGCCATGGCAGTTCAGTGTCCAAGTGGCTTCCATAGTAATGGAACAGGGACTGTCTCTGACATGAACTGATTGACCTGCTCTTTGATCACCTCCCCCTGAGGGGGGAGCAGCCTTACCAGGCCACAGAAAAAGACAATGCAGCCACTCCTGATGAGATCTATTAGACTAAGGTCAGAAGGAAGGGGAGGAGGACCTCCCCTATCAGTGAACTTGGGGAGGGGCATGCATGGAGAAGGGGGAAGAGAGAGGGTGGGATTGGGAAGGGAGCTATAGCTGGGAAACAAAGTGAATAAATTGTAATTAAAAAAACTATAAATAAAAAGAAAAAATTACATGAAAATAATTTTATGATATTTCTTTAAAAATTTTCAAGAATTAATAAAATGTTACATTAAAATAAAAAAGATATTCAGAACTTTTTTAAACTAAATTTAAAATTTAATTTATGCATATGGGCATATCTGTGTACAAGTATTATCACATATTTGCATAGAGGACACACCCACAGAGGCCAGAGGAGGACATCAGACCTCTTGGACTGGAGTTATAGCTTATAAAGAGATGCCTGATATGGATGCTAGGAACTGAACTTGGATCCTCTGGAAGAAAACAGGCACTCTTAATTTCTAAGCTATCTCTCCAGTCCATTTTTTTTTATCTAAATTAAGTTGTTGAAGGTCCCACTCAGCTCCGAGAAATAGTCTGGGACATTATAAAATTCTAAAAGGTTAGTAGGTGGATATACTTGCTTACATGTTTGTTTTGTTTTGTCTGGACATTGCTAGGAAGGAAAGTATATCAGTCTAGGACTCTGGACTTGAGGACATAAATTTGGATCTTCAGGTCATGGCCTGTCAAGTTGTCCCTGTAAATCAGACATTGTATCATGACTGAGAATTAGAAGGAGAAAAATAAACATAATTAATTACTCTAAGTAGTGGAGGGAAGAAAACCATTGATTAAAAAGCCTTATAAAGTACTAAGTACTACAATGTGGAAATACTAGGATGTGAACAACAGAAGCCTAGACCTGAGCATGGTTTTAACTGTTGACTCTTCATCTATAAAATGGGGCCAACAAACATCCTTGTTGTATACTTGAGTATATGCCCAGAAGTGGTATAGCTGGATCTGAGGTAGTACTATTCCTAATTGTCTGGGAAAGAGCCAGACTGATTTCCAAAGAGGTTGTAGAAGTTTACATTCCCACCAGCAATGGAGGAGGGTTCCCCTTTCTCCACATCCTCTCCAACATGTGTTGTCACTTGAGTTTTTTATCTTAGCCATTCTGATGGGTGTAAGGTGAAATCTCAGGGTAATTTTGATTTGCATCTCCCTGATGACTAAGGAGATTAAGCATTTCTTTAAGTGTTTCTCTGCCATTAGATGTTCCTCTATTGAGAGTTCTCTGTTTAGCTCTGTACCCCATTTTTTAATTGGGTTGCTTGATTTGTTGATTTTTAACTTCTTAAGTTCTTTATATATCCTGGATATTACCCCTCTGTCAGATATAGGGTTATTGAAGCAGCTTTATTTGTAATAGCCAGAAGCTGGAATCAACCCAGATGTCCCTCAGTTGTGGAATGGATACAGAAATTGTGGTACATTTATACAATGGAATACTACTCAGCAATTAAAAACAACGAAATCATGAAATTTGCAAATGGTGGGATCTAGAAATGATCATCCTGAGTGAAGTATCCCAGAAGCAAAAAGACACACATGGTATATACTCACTTGTAAGTGGATATTAGACATATAATATAGGATAATCATACTAAAATCTGTACACCTAAGGAAACTAATCAAGAAGGACCACCCTGGTAAGATGTTCAATCTTCATTCAGAAAGGCAAACGAGATGGACATCAACACGGAGAAAACAGGGAACAGGACAGAAGCCTATCACAGAGGGCCTCTGAAAGACTCTACCCAGCAGGGTATCAAAACATATGTTGAGATTCATAGCCAAATTTTTGCAGAGTGGAGGAAATCTTATGAAAGAAGGGGGGATAGAAAGATCTGGAAGGAACAGGAGCTCCAAAAGGAGAGCAACAGAACCAAAAAAATCTAGGCACAGGGGTCTTTTCTGAGACTAATACTCCAAACAAGGACCATGCATGGAGATAACCTAGAATCCCTGCACAGAAGTAGCCCATGGTGGCTCAGTGTCCAAGAGGATTCCCCAATAATAGGAACAGGGAATGTCTCTGTCATGAACTCATGGGCTGGCTCTTTGATCACCTCCACCTGAGTAGGGAAGGGGGTGCAGCCTTACCATTCCACAGAAAAAGACAAAGAAGCTAGTCCTGATGAGACCTGATAGACTAGGGTCAGATGGAATGGGAGGAGGATCTCCTCTATC